GATAATGATATTGGCCCACGAAAACTTATATTTAATGAATTACCTGAAACAAATACATGAATTATCAGAATAACAAAGCAATGCTTCTGAAGCTTCTATCTCGTCCACGCAACATCTGCAGTTGCTTCTAAAATGCTATCTCATCTTTTTATCTAATCACTTTATCCCCATCACTTCCTCTCCAATCACTTTGTCATCACTTTCTCGCATCATATTCTCTCTCATCACTTCTTCATCTCATCACTTTATCTTTTCTCCCTCGATGCAGTAGTCGTGTCGAGTTCCAGCGCGATTTGCGGATAGCCAAAACCGCGGATAGCGAGTTCGCGAATAACGAGTGAAACCTGAACTCTATCGCGGTTACACAGCAACGGCAATATCGCCCCCTGCTGTGAGAACTTGGCAGGACCCTCTTGAGACTCACTGCGGGCTTCCCGAGGTAAACAATTGTCCGGTATGCCCTCGCTATTCGCGAACTTGCTATTCGCGATTTTGGCTCTCTGCGAATCGCATCGGGAAGTCTACATCTATGTAAGAGCAGTAACGACATCATGACGATCATCATAATCACCATCATCATTATCATCGTTCAACATCATCGTCAGCATCATTGTCACTAAATCTTTCTACTGTGCAGGAAGTTAATTTATAAACTATTATTTAATGGTTGAATATTTATTTTTATTAACTTTATGTTTATTATAACAAATGTAATTGTTTGTGTTATGATAATTTTCACATTTAATTGCTTGTTCCTGCTTATCGTGATGTAGTTCTGCATTTCGCTATGACCCGTATGTGAGGTGTCAATGTAAAATCCCTGTGGTGCAGCTGTGCAGCACTGAGTAAATACGTCATGGAACACGGAGGTGAAACGTGATATATTGCAGGTGAATCGGTACGTAATTTGCCGTACGTGCATCGCATATCGCTTTGATACGATCTTTCCTCGTGTTTACTTTGTACGTATGTGTTGAACTTCTTTCACACCGTACGTAGACAACCGCGCTAATCGGAGATATGAGGGGGAAGGACAACAAACTAAACACAAAAAGCAGTTCTAAAGAAATTAGCTTTCAATCTCGACGATTTCAAAGTGCATGGCTCCCAGTGGCTTCGAATATCGTAAGGAAGAGCGTTCCAGACGGCCGCAGAAGCGCATCCTCAAGCGCACAATGCAGTGCCGTCTTTGTTCGGTGGCTAGCAGCCAAAAGCCGCAAATACTTGACGTAAAATAAAAAATAAATAGTTCAGGTGTCCCTCTCATTACATTAGCGGTCATTAAACACGACGCTTTTGAAAAATGTGCAGTAAAACCTATTCATTCGCGGATTTTTCGTTTGCAAAAAATGTGCTTGTTCGCAATTTTACATTTGCATACCAGTTTCAAGTTTCGCGCTTTTTTCCTTCGACTTTTCGCCATTTGGCAACATCGCATCACGGGGTGGGGGGGTTACTGCACTAGCAGATTGTGGCCCCGTGTGCTGCTATCCGCGTGGCTTAAGCGTTTTACTCTTCAAGTGCCCTTGCCGTTTTGTGCTATTTTTGCACTTTGTGGTGTTTTTTCTTTCTTCTTCTTTGATTTCGATCGTGGGGGTCTAAGCGTCGATCGATTGGAGGCAGTGAGAGCGAGAGGAGTAAGAAGGCAGAATACAAGTCACGGGCCGAGCTCAGAAAGTCGAGTTGTTGGCTAGTCTTGCTACCGCTGTGATCGTGCGCTGTCTGCTGTTGGCCCACCATTGCACGGCAGATGAGTCCGGGGTCGGATTTATGGAGAAATGCGAGAAGGCAATCGGGGGGGGAGGGGAGGGGAAGTATGGCGGAAAATGTACCGATGACCGACAAAGTCGCATCATCATCATCATCCAAGATACATGAAACTTCCCAATTTACAGTATATATTGATGTATTTTCTGTTGTTTGTGTTATTATCTATTTGTATAATTGTACAATTAAATCAAGTAAATGGATGTTATTTATGTGCACAGTCCAGGATTAATGTTACGAAACATTTTAATTTTCTCACGTATGTGCAGTCAGACACGAGAACCCAAGCCCCTTTGCCTCCCATATGAACGTACTGTATCTACGTCCGCGAATTCTACTTTTGCAGAGATTTTCAAGAACTGAAGCCTCGCGGATGTCGAGGCCTTATCATATACTCCCTTGCTTTGGCTGAGGGGATATATTGTTGAGGGGATATATTTTCGAGGCCTTAACGTATAGTCCCTGGCTCTGGTTTCGAGGCTATGTTGTATTTCTCTTGAATGCTGTTTTAAAAATCAAAGATTATTCTTTCTGGTCCACAGCGCTCTTGACTAAGTCGATCACAATCCATCTGTGAAGACTCCTCACGGTGTATTTTTAATGGTTGTAAACCGTGGTTCATCGTCATAGTAACCGCGGTCCATCGTTATAGTGACTACGGTCGATCGCTGTAGGAAACGTCGCCCACCGTCATAGGAACCACATCCATTGTCACAGTGACCACAGTCCATGGTCACAGTAACTGTGATTCGTCTCCATAGTAACCGTGGTGCATCGTCACAGTAACTGCGGTCCATTGTCATAGTAACCGTGGTCCATCATTACAGTAACCGCGGTCCATCGTCATAGTAACCGTGGTCCATCATCACAGTAACCGCGGTCCATAATTAACAGCGGATCTCTCCAAGTGGCCTGGAGTTAAAATGTTCAGCTATTCTTACATTGCATTTGCCCTCACAAGGTGCTGCAGGGTACACGACACCGTAGGGCGCGGTACACCAACACGCACGCCGCCTTGCTGGCGCTGCACGTGCCGTCCTCATAGGAGCCGCGCTGTTCAACTCTCTACCCTACCTTCATGCCTCTCTCTTTGCACGCCACGAAAAAAATCCCCAAGAAGCAAGCAGAGCTGAGAGGATGGACACCGAGAGGATGGAGCGATGCGATCGCTTCATGCGAGGCAGTTTGGCTGTGAGGCGCGACCCTTTGTGGAGGCCTTTTACTCAACTAAACTTTTTGTTTGTTTGTATTCTACCAGGGGAGGCCCCCACTGAGCTGTGTAGCTCTTCTTCAGAAGGGACCTGGCTATCACAAATGATAGCTCGATGAATTGGCGGCTTATCGCGTGGACATTTATAGCAGCGAAATTACTCTGAAGGCGTGATGTTGATTCTAAAAGTGGAGGGAAATGGCGGAAGACCCGGGGAAAAATCCACACGGCTCCAGGGAGAGAGACAACATGCAAACTCCAAATATACAGGCGTCAGGGGTGTGGATGGAACCCATCGCCTCGGAGTTAACATCTCGCCACCATCGCACCCCTTCATACAGCGGTGGGGAGACAATAGCTGCTGATGACGATACAGCAGCCCTGCAGTGAGACCTTGCTTAGAGAGGGGGGGGGGGCACGACCCCATCAATCACTTGACTAAACCAGTTGCCAGGGAGGGGGGGGCTCAGCAATCAGCATGGGGGGCTCAGGCACCTTTGAACCCTCGGATGCTACGGGGTTGTGATGATGATGATGGTAATATCTGTGGAATGTTTACAACGATTTGCGTTTGTATGAGCGTGTACGCCCACACAAATGATTGAATGCCGTGTGGGGAGAAACGCGGTCTATTGGTACCCAAACAACTGATTGGAAGTTCCAGGGCAGTGAAATCGGTTGGTTGACCCCTACGTGACCTTTGTAGTATATGCGTTTATATGAGAACCAAACATGTAGATTACAGCAAAGCCCTTTGCAGAAACTCAACAGCAATTATAATTCCGTGAACAAATGAACAGTTTGTACTCGTGGACCACTGAGTTACCGTGATCAAGGTGACTTCCCTCATCTTGAGACGAGATTTCCGTTAGCGCAGCGAACCTCCTCTCACCCGTGACTCCTATTATCCGTGAGGATGGATGGACCCAGAATTCGTGCCTTTTATCTGTTGATTTACCAGCCCTATTCATAATTTTGCAGACAATAGGAAGATGGAGTTCAATCCTCCCAGTTTTCGGAGCGCCGCCCATGGGTGAGAGGAAGGGCGGCGATGCGGTGAACGTGCAGAGGAGGTGAGGACAACGCAAAACAACGTCGCTCCTGTGTGCATCGGGCAAGCGAGAGAGAGCGGGCGAGCAGGTTGAGGCGCCCTTGGAAACGTGAAACGCGACAACGAGAAGCGACGTAGCAACACGCCCGAAGAGTTCAATCAGTGGGTGGACATGACCTGCTGTGACGTGCGGATTAGAAACATGTGCACCGATGCGGATGGAGAAAATGGAACAGAGATATATAACTATTTTTTCAGAAGCGACCTGGCCACAAATGAGTGAATTATTAAGTGGAAATTT